TGTCTCATCTATGTTTTAGTTACGAATACATTGTGTCACTTGGTTATTTTGTTTCAGTTAAATAAAGATATATATGCTATAAGACATTGTCCTAGTTTGAGATAATCGTTCGATTGTGCAATGTAAGCCAAGTAATTAAATCAAGGACCACGTGAAGTTAAAAGAGCTCAGACAGCATGCTAAGGAGATCCCAGATGATAATAATCTTGTACTTGTTGGAGGTATATGATTACTGAAGAAGCTCTTCCTACATGCCAAACGATTCTACATACTTGATGGAACTCGAGATGCAATAGCTACTAGTCCCACTCCTCGGACTGTTGACGAGAGCGGAACTGCTGAAGAGAACCAGTCCGATATGGTGATCTTCTCAATAGGTATCTGTATTTATCTGGAAGAGTTAGATATCTGAGGCAAATTGAGATTACAATTCAGTATGTAGTTGGCTCCGCGATGGTAAGTTCCTATTTAACATTTTTCCCCTTGAGAATTCTTATGCTTAGCCCTTAATTTTTAGAAGTGCATGATGCCTTGCGGAGTTTATGTTAAATCTTTCGATCACAGGGAGGGAAATAAGAGACAGCAACATTCATTTCGTGCCAATCAATATGGAGATGTGAAGTTAGCACAAATATGTGGCACAGTTGCCTCAGATGAGAATCGACACTAGACTGCATACACAAAATTCGCTGAGAAACTATTCGAAATAGACGCAGATAGCACTGCACTTGCATTTGCTGACATGATGAGAAATAAAGTATCTATGCCTGCTCGCTTAATGTATAACGGTCGTGATGGCAATCTTTTCGAGTATTTCTCTGCATTTGCTCAGAGATTGGGCGTGTACACAGCAAGGATATGCTGACATTCTCGAGTTTCTTGTTGGGAGGTAGACGGTGGATAAATTAACTGGATTTTCTGCAGAGCGGAATAGAGTCGAAGATTATGTCTGCAATTTGGCCCCAAGATTTAGGAGGCTAGAAGAGAGAGCGCAAGGGAGAGGCAAGCAAGCCATCAGCATGTCATTCAGTTGGATTTTTGGCCAGGAAGTTAACCTTTGAGAATGCTTATCTGATTGTATCTTGTAGTATCAAAATAGTCTCAGATTATTAGTACAGTTAGCATTACTCGTCATGGGATAGTTGTCATAAAAGAGCTTTGAAAAAGTGCGCAAGGATTTAGTGCGTGTGTGTGTGTGTCTACACACGCGCACACACAGTTTTAAACTGTCAGCTACTGGAATGGCAAAAGCACGCACCAAATTATGCCCTTTCAGTGACAGTGGATGAAGTTTTGTAACAGAGACGAAGATGTTAATTATAGCCGCACAGCTGAGCGAACTTGGAACTTTGGCTACAAGCAATTTGAATAATATTTATTAGTTATTCGCGCTAGTCATTTAGTTGAGCATAGCTTTTATATTTCGATTGAACTCATTGAAACTAGTGATATGCAAAACTTATGGCTGCGGAAAGCAAGTTGGACACTGTCCACTCCGTCTTAATCTAATACAGATAGCCTCGTAATGCAAATTCTATGCGCTTGTCAACAGGAAATTTCAGCATGAGAAGAGTTTGTAGAAGATAATCTTGATATACACAAGAGACAAAGTTACAATGAGTAAACTACAAGGGCTTTTTTTTTTAACCAGAAGAGTTTCGGGGGGGGGGAGGGGGGGTGGGGGGGGGGGGGGGTGGGGGGGGGGGGGGGGGGGGAAATAAAGTGAACTTTTAATCATACTTTTGTCTTGAAGTGTATTCAAACTATTTTATTCATTCAACTAATCTTCTTAATATTTGTCTTCTATACAAATATCTCAATTTTATTAAAATCTTCCTTTAAAAATTGTCTTCGTCCAGGGGCGGAGTTACATTGAGTTTAATGGGGTCCCAGGACCCCAGTAAAATCTAAATATGTACCAGATATTACATATAAAAAACATAAGTGCAGCAATGGCCCAGTGGTTTAACACTCCAGGACCCCAGTAATTCACCAGAGTTCGAGTCTGCTGAGATGCATATTTTCACGATTTTTTTTTCTCCAATTTCTCTTATCATGTAGTACAGACTGTACAGTAAAAAAATTAAAACCCTTCCCCTTCCCCACCTTTTCAAACTAGAGAAAAATTAAAACCCTTCCCCTTCCCCACCTTTTCAATGTTCACGTAAAAAAAAGTCCATCCAACTCCCTTCTTCAACAATTCTCCAATTTCAACATTATAGTTTGTGAAGGCTCCATGGATTATAGTTTGTCATTAAAATAATTTGTGCGTAAAATCTACATTATCAATAATTTTAGGACCCCATATGTTAAAAATCCTGGCTCCGCCACTCTCTCATAGATGAAAATCGAGTTCTCAGCTTGGGATTAGTATTAATAAACCTATGAACATACATGGAGCTCGGTTCGCCAGTTGGCAATCAAATGGGTCAAGCAGGCCCAATGGGCTTACTTAATTGGCCCATTTTGACCCACATCATAATCCTATCTATTCGTCGTATCTACAATGGAAAATAATAAACATTCTGCTTGCTTTTAAATGTAAAAGAAAAAGAAGAAAGGGGGAAATTAAAAAGAGAAATGATAGGGGCACGCCTTCAACCACACCTCTCTCTTACTACAGTGTACTGGAACCCACATGAGATTTTTTGCTGAGCTCCAGACCCTGAGTCAAGAGCAGAGGACAATTGCGTGAAGCGAGGGTAGGATAGAGCTTACAAGCTTTCATCTAGTTCCTAAAAAAATAAATAATAATAATAATAATAAAAGCTTTCATCTCGATTCCAGGGCTTTTGGTCTTTCAATTTTCGTCACAGGTTCTTTCTCTTTGCTCTCTGATTCCAGTTTTTGGGAATTTTCCGTGCTATGTCTTTCATCATCTTCTTGTAGTTGATGGGTAATTTGGGTTTTGTCCTTTGGTTGTGATTTCATCTCCATTTTCGATTTCTCTTTTCTTTTAGGTATTTTCTCTTAATTTTGTTGCAGAAATTTGTTGCTCTGTATTTCTCTGCATACCATCTTGCTCGTTTAACCTACAATTCACAAGCTTATTGTATAAAGCGGCCACAAACAATAGCATTGGACAACAGTAGAGCAGACATTGTAGACTGGATTCATGATCAAGTTTTATTTCTTGTTCTTTGAAATGTGGTGAAGGGATAAGGCCGCCCATAAATGAAAACCCAAGATCAAGAACATCTTACCTATTGCAGAGATGATTCCTGAAGAGTTGATTTGGCAATGTAAAGTTGGCATCCCTTTGTCGGATTATTATTCTTAATTTTGAGGGTCACTTCTTGAAATTGCAAAATATTTTCTAGAATTGAGCCTTATTAATAAAACTGTGAATCAACATTGGTGGGTGAATCCAACGTTTGGCAGAGGTTCCTCTTAAGTATGGATGTTTTTCCTTTTCAGAGATGGTTTTCAATTTGAAAGTAGTGAGGTATATTTTGGACGGTAAGTGGGTGTTCTTCAAGAGGAATTCATTTTTATAAGGTGGTGTTAGTAAGATGCATCTTTCATAATCATAGCTTCCTTGGGTGTGGGAGCATTATGATTTTAGTATTGAATATTGCATGGTTAAAGATAGTGGAGGGGTATGAGTGCAGTAATGGGTGAATCCAACCTTTTATTAAGGAAGGAGGCTGTTTGATTGTTTTCCGAAAAAAAAAAACGGGATGGAAAACTCAGTTTTCAAATGATTTCAATAGCTTTCATGACATTTCCCTTTTTTTTATTGTTTCGCAAAGAAATCACCTCATTTCACCGCCAAGTCACATAAAAAAAACCGCAATAGTAACAGTGCTTTTAGTTTTCCATTTCTTGTGTTTGTTTGAACAAAAAAAAAAGGAAATTAGCCACAATAGTAACAGTGTTTTTAGTATTTAAATAATCTGGTTTATTCACATGGACTGTTTCAACAGTGCTTTTAGTAATTAAAAATTCATAGAAGTAATATTTCCAAGTGTTTTCACAGGTTTTTGGTGTGAAAACACACTTCTTAAAAATCTGACGTGGCATCCTACGTGGCATCCTCATTTTTTTAAATCACAAAACGAAACAAACATGTGATTTGAAAATCGGTTGAAATCAAAATCCTATGTGGAATGGGTGGATTTCTTGAAATGTGACATGCGGGGGGTTTCTCATTTTTTTGGCAAACAAACAGCCCAGTGAAATTGTTTCTGTTTCAATGAGAGGGAGGGGATCCTCATCGAGGTACGAAGACATTTTTTGTAATGAGTTTATTCTTTCTCTAGAAAGAGAAATATTAGGAATATTGGAGGAGGTTGGAAGGTGTTTAATTACTCACAAAAGAATTCATTTTTATGTTATAGTTGTTGGGATTGTGTCTTTGATTCTTTGTATAACTTCATGAGAATTAGATAGGATTAGAGATCTATCATGATTAGGAGATTAGATCTCATTATGATTAGGAGTTTGAATCCTATTTTAATTAGGAA